ATGAAAAAGTGAAAACATGTAGAACGTGCCTTTGAAAATGCCAGCAAAATAGCCTATCATATTAGACTTTGCTCGAAGCGAGCAAATAGAGTGGATGTCTGTTAGTCCGTCTAAATATTTGCATTATTTATATTTTCATTAGACACTTCACATTCACACTAATTTTTCCATTAGATCTAATCCTCACGCCATATTCCTGTAGTACCATTTTGTTGAAATCTCTGCATCGAAATGTTTACGTAATCATCGCTTATCTTATTGATTTCTCACGCAATACACAGAGTACACATACAGAAAGTTCGTTTCAGGCTGACTACATAAAATGCTCGACATGCATTTCATACTAATAGTCCAAATTTCAAGTTACGCCATTGTCGCACAAAATACTATAACGTAGTAAAAGGAAAATGCATTGGGATAGCTCAAAAGTTATTCGTGGTTTCTTTCTTAAGCTAGAATGTTAACATAATTACCTATGGAGGAGATTCTCTGCGTTTAAATTATTAAACAAACAATCCATTTTGATTATATTCATGACGATAAAGAGCCCTCTGCACCTCTCACCGTTAAAGAGATCCCAATGGTGAGCCACGAATTTATAGACAGCTGAAATGTTTCAGGGTAGCATATCTAGATTTATCCCACGTAAGTAAACCGCCATTACCATATCAAAAACGAAGTTTACAACAATCAAATTGTAACAATTTATTTTCTCCATTACAAAGTATTATTATTGTTCACGGTTTATTACTTGTTGAAACATTCCCGTAACTTTTGATGGCTTCATCTATTGTGGAATTTAACAAAACAATTTTACCGTGTAGTGCCTGTCGATTTTCATCTTTTCTTTCATTCGTGAGTCGTAACAACTAGCTGAAGCAAGAGTTAGAACGCATGGAATTTTATTTCCCATCTTCCGAATATAGTAATCTGTACAGGTTCGGCTGTAATTTCTCATACTGCAATTTCCATCGACGATTGTTGCATTCATCTACGATTAGCCATCTTATTTAAGAGGTATGTAAATTTTAGGTTATCAAGGAAGGGGATTACCTTTGATTTCTTTTAGGGTTTTAATTGTTAGTACCGGTTTAAAGACCAGTTCAATTTTAATTTTAAATTTTGTACTGTACCTACAATTTTTGTTCGACACACGAGTAAGCCCACCATCGCCTGCGAGTGCAGACACATTTGACCGAGAGATAAACCCCTGTTGGCAATACTTGTAGTGCAGTGTAATGATAGTACTCGCAGTGTAATGATAGTACTGGCAGTATAATAGGCATTAACTAAGGCATTTCAATGCAGTAAAAGTGCCAGTATATCTAACGGGCGATCAAAAAAGGATTGACGTCGAGCCGCCAAAGATGACTCGGCAGCAACTCTTTTCATTAGTGCGCACGGTTTATTACTTGTTGAAAGATCCCCGTAACTTTTTTAAGCAATTTAATAGATGGCTCCATCTATTTTTGGAATTTTAGAACGCCATTATCCGGCGCATTTTCTTGCCGTGATTTTTGGTATGTCGACCTTCATCTTCCTCTTTTTTTTTTGTAAAACGTATCGAGTTACACTTTGTTTAAACAAACAGCTGAAGCGTGAGTTAGAACGCATGGAATTTTAATTGCCATCATCCATATACATTTATCTTTGGCGATTGGATTGATAATTTGGGGATTCCGCAGTAATTAGTTTGGACGGGATTTCACCTACATAACTTCTCCAGTAAGGATTTTAATTGCATCATCTACGATTAGCCCTCTTATTGAGGTATGTGCATTTTAGGTTATCATATTCTTTTGATTGATTCTTGGCGTCAACATCTAACTTAAATTAAGGTCGCCTATCAATTTATTAATTTGTGGAAAGTTGTTTAAGATCCCGTAATTAGCTTGTTAATCGATAATTCTTGATTGGGAGCATTTCAATTGTACAATAAACTTAATAGGAGAGAGTTAAGATACAAATTGAGTGACGCTTAACCCTACTAGTAAGTGCAACGAAGTTACGACGATCATAAATGCCCAGAACGAACTACCAGGGCCGCCCAGACAATTTCAGGGGCCTGGGACAAAGTAAATTTTGGGGCCCTATGTTGGGTAATTATCCTAGACCTGGATTTTTTTGCAAAAGCTAGTCTATACCTTGAAGGTGCGAGTACATCTGGGAGAAATATTTCCATGCGGTTTAAAAAATGCGCTTTATCTGCACAAGATCATCGGCCGTACAAATGAAAATGTGGCAACGGCAACTCTATTGCTGTTTCATTCATCCTCACAGATCCACGGCCAACATGGGGGCTCTTTGAAATCGGGGCCCTGGGGCAAATCGCTCCAGTTGCCCCCTCCCCCTCTGGACGGCCCAGCGAACTACCGCTGCGGAAAATCTCAAGCTCCTATTTGGTTTTCCAACCTTGAGCTAGGTGGCCGTTTATGCGACGGGTTTTAGAAAACTCAGCGCCAACTCTGTCAATCGTTATAGGTACATATTGGATATCTAAATTTATATACAGGGTGTTCCAATAGTCCGATATATCGAGCGCTATCTCTCTGTAACAGAGTGATGATACAAAAAAGTTAAAATACAAAATTGTGTGCTAGTTTCATGTGCATAACCCATTAAATATGTTTGTTACAGGGTGATCGATAAAGGTGGTATGAGACATAACTTTGTTATTTTAAATGGAACACCGAGTGGAACACTATAGATTTCTTATTTTTTGTTGAGCATCATGTAATACTTAATGTTTTCTATAACAGGAAGTCTGCACTAATCACACAAAAAAGTTGCGTTTTAAATTAATAAAATATTCGTTTTTGTTCACAGTGTAAACAGTGATTTTTAACAAAACCTTAAAATTTTGAAAAACAATTTAAGTTTCTGTATACACGATGGTTAACAAAACATAAGTAAAATAAATTAAACAAATATAGCAAAGACCTCTTGGGTATGGCCATAGCATGTGCAAAACAAAATTTTAAACCTGATGTTAATTTTACTTTTATTTAAAGTGTATATGTATGAAATTGCATTTAATTGCTTCCATAAATACGAAAGTTGGCACTGCAGATCCTACACAAAACCAAATTTGGAAAATGGCGCTACATTTGCTTTTATTCAAAGTGGTTATGTATCAAATTTCATTTGAATGCCTCCATAAATAAAGAAGTTGGCACTGCGCATGCGCAAAACCAAATTTTGAAACTGGCGTCAGATTTTGCTTTATTCCAAGTGGCTATATACCTTCATAAATAAGACAGTTTGCAATTCTGTGTGTAAATGGTCGAGATGCACAAAGGGCACTGTGAATGCTGATCGATTAGGCTCAACTTTTGGAATTGTGTTTTATATGGCTAAAGGTATGCGCATATTGAATTTCATGCAATTTGGTTCATAACTAAGGGAGATGTCAAAATGGCCTAATTTATTTTTTGGTATACATTAAACATGGTGCAAAGAAAAACCAGAAAATTCCGATTACTTTCGAAAATATACCAGAAAAACCGAAATTTTTCGATTTGTTTTTTATTTTATTTTTATTGTATTTTATTTTTTAAAAACTATATATTGAAACCTGTAGGCCTCGGACGGACAGTGAAAGTGGCTGCAATAGCACACCCAACTTCGTTAGAAACTGCGCTAAAAAACGTTTTCAGAAATATGGAACTCTTTAATTCCTCTGGACTCTGAATTACATTTTAATGGCATTCAAATCCTCAATATTGAATTTTTTTCCCACAATCTAGGCCAATTTAAATTTTCGAATACATTTTTGAACCTTTTTTCAAAATTCAGAAATTTCAAATTTTGAAATTTTTGAATTTGTAGTTGCAATTCCTAAACCTTATGATCCTGCGTATGGTGTCTCCGTTTCCAAAGCATTAATCCCATCAGTCTTTAATAGAATCAAATCAGATTCGGGCTATGAAGAATGAGTCTTGGTCTTTTTGTGCAAGTAATGCCTTTTCGATGTTATATCCACAGCTATTATCAGCCGGACTATATTAAAAAAAGTGGCGCTTGGTAATACCGAAATACAGTAGTTATGTTCCTGGTCAGACTCGCTATCTAATCAGAGAACAATCGGAAAAAGATAAGCCTAAAGTAGATACTTGAGAAGACGAAATATCTCCAGACCACTCTGAGTTTATAAAAGGCAATATCAGCGGTTTTGAATTCGTCTGCATATATTGCTTAAGGCCTAAAACAATGCCGGACGAAATGATAAAATAGTGCACAATTGGCGACATACATTTCACGAATAGAAAAATTCTTTAGAGAAGGAAGAGGATCATTTTTTGAAGAGCGACACCGATTTCTTTACACTGAAACGGCTGAAATGGGTATGTTGCATTGCAAGGTTCTACTTTTGACACATTCACTTTTGCGATAAATTAGGAGGCGTAACTTTGAATTCAAATAAAAGGAACTTGATATTATAAAACTTTTTTATTTGAAATGAGATAAATTCCAGACACACAGGGATCAGAGTATCGTTAGTCTCGATAGAGTTGCATAATACCAAAAAAAGTTTGACCTCTGAATTTTAGATTTACGTCAGCACGTTAATTATTGAGCAATGTTTTATTACAAGTTCTTCTATAGTTGTTATTGACACATTGAACTTCCTTTAATATATCATTCATAATAATAATAATCCTTTGACAATACACTGTTTATTTTATTTATCGGTATGTTTATAACATTGTAGAACATGCCCTAGTTCAAGATGGATTTTGAAGCACTATGTACAGCGCAAAGGACCGGTTGTTGGGATTAGGGTTAGGTCGCTGCTATAGCAGTTGCGCAAGTGGGCAGCGTGGTCTGTTTTGCTCGGGAGAAAACAGGTCAATGCGTCAATACACTCTTCCGGAATATTTCTTTACGATTACGATGTTGTAAAGAAACAAAATTTGTAAATATTTGTCATAGGAAAAATACAAAAAGGAGAAATTCCAGCAGTATATAAAGCGTGCAAATGGTGTTCACGATCAGTGGCGTGTTAAGACCTACAGTAACCATTGGCCTGAACTGAACGTAAGTTACCCCAACCCCCCCACAACATAGGCGGAAAAATCCACTTTGCGTTTGGAACCTCGTGAATTTTTTAGGCGCAAAGGGCCCATTACATCACAAGTGGGACGTAAAACTTTGGGAACCTTCAATGGTGTTGACTACACCCCGCTTACGATACTCATTGTGCAAAAGACGACATCGGGTCAACAAAGATAAGGTTATTTATAAACAGTGAAAAGCACAGTAAGTGTATACAAAATGTTCAAAATTAGATGTTTTTGCAGACAAATTGAACACAAAGTTCATCATCATTTTGACATCTGGACACACTATCATGGACCAACAAATATAATTTGTTTTTTGCAACTGATAAAACTATGCAAGTGGAAAAATGTTGATGTCGTGTTGTTCTTGCACGACATAAACGATAATGTCGTCGCTTAATTACCCCAAAAAATTATCATGTCGAGGTTGTGAATTGTGATCTGTATCAATCAGGACCAAAACTGGATAAAATTGATACAATGGGCCGTATGAATAAAAGTAAGCAAATGCTTATACTTGCAAAATTCAAAGTAAATACTCGTAAGTGCTCCTTCGCACTGGGCGACTTAGCAGCGCTTTTAAAGCAGAAGGACAGGACGCAGTGCAGCGCTGCTAAACCATGCTAAACAGACCAGTATGAAGGGACAGTTACGAGTATTTACTTTGAATTTTGCAAGTATAAGCATTTGCTTACTTTTATTCATACGGTCCAATGTGTTTGGACGGGGTTCAGAAAACAAGATTTTGACACCTCTTAGTCAAAACGTGTGGTCATTTGGTACCAAAATTGACGATGCACAAAGAAAGATTCTCAACTACCTACATCAAGTTTTAGCGCATTCATTAAATTTTCGGAAGATAATCAGGAATATATTAGCCGAGACTTAAAAACCTCGAAGACGCTATAGAAACAGAGTCAACTGTCAAACTTAATTAATATTTCTAATTAGTCACTAATTAATATAACGACATTATTATGCTCAAAAATTCAATTGTTGCGAATATCACATAATTAAAACTGAATTATTTGATTTGTAAGTGGACGGAGTTTTAGCCATGGTTTCTACCAACCCAACAACAAATATGCATCCCCGAAACAAGATTCGAACTAATTTCCTCTCCGCCACTTTTCACTTGGGAATTGCAAAATACCATTTATTTCATAATGATTTAAAGCTGAATATGATACCAATAGATTGGCATAAGTGTTGGTTTGAGGAGAGATACTGGAGACACCTATGACAAATAAAACAATCTCAAATAAACACCAAAAAAACACAAAAAACGGTGGAGCTGTTGATACAAGCATTGAATAATAAATTCAGATTCTTTATTCAATGATATAAGTAATTATCTTGCCATAAGATTTTTGTTTTATCGGTCAATTATTTTAGTAAGCAAGGTTAGCACCAGGAGAGCAAAACAGGCGGAAAATATTTTAAAACTATACGCGCTTCTAATTCTCTACGATGCTCGTATCCAAAGACGAATCCTGATAAAGTTAGTTGACGTCTGTTTCAGTGCGGTTTCGGTATTAAAGAAAGTGTAAAAAGATTCTTTTTCTTTTTTCTTCAATTTACAATGAATATTTGGTATCAAAAATCCAGAAAATCTGCGGTTCAAATCCGTCGAAAAAAAAAATTAACTTCAACTTCAATTTCCTATGATAACATCAATCCCTTTCTTCGTAATTTAGCATATTTGAACACGTTTCTATTCCCATAACACAAGCATCTTTGATGGTTTGGTATCGCAAGAAAATATTTACCAATCAACTTTAACTTCTTGCACTTCTACACTCCCGATAGAACCAATTATCTATGAATGAAGTTTGCTCAATATTGCTCAGAAGATTTGTGTATCAAAAGAGCGAACTAAGATAACTGAATTCTATGTTCTTGATACAATAGTCTCCATACAGAGAACTTGATATCAGAAAGTGCGAATAATTTCAACTTTTTGCGACATCAACATATCAAACAAGTACAATTTCTACACTCCTGTTTGAATCATAAATTATACAACTAAATTTTGCGATGAGTCATTAAATTTAACTTCACTCCATTTCCTATTCAATCACGATTTTGGTAATGGAATTTAGGAAATGAGAAGCAATAATTTCAACAAAGATCTATCCAGTAGTGTAACTCCGCCTGTTCATTTTGTATTTGAAAAAGATGCGGGTTTTATTTTTCCAATTTTCCGTCTTTATATGAAAACAATTGAAAACTAATACGGTTGATTGGCGTAAACAAAATTTTTCTACAAAAAACTTTACACATTTTTGCTCTAAAATAATTTGGGGAGCCAATAATCGCATGTTATGAATTTTACATTAAAATCCCTATGATGCGTTCCGCAAGTCGCCACCCTGTATATGTTAACTATGCAAAGTTTCAACCGAATAGGTTCAAGCGTTTGGCAAGGACAGAGAAGCGTGACCCCACGGGGTCATTGGATTTGACCCATTTTCAATAGGATTATTACGAGGCTTATTACATGTGGCGTATAGGTCAAATGTGCAAAGTTTGAACCAAATCGGTCCAAGCGTTTGACAGTTATCGTATTCAAGGACAGACGGACACCATCGACTCCCCTATAAAGCTTGCATCGCTTTGCTCTGCCGCTTAATAAATAAGAAAGTTGATATTGCGCAGCACATTAATCGTCAGGATTTTTCTTGCCTCAGGTGCCAAAGATGTAAGCTACCGAATTCAAGAAGAACGAACTAAATACATTGAAAGCTGTAGGAGTAGTTAAGGACTGTGACGGACGGACAAGGGGCCAGAGAAAATGGCTGAAATAGCGCACCCAACTTCGTTGGAAAATGCGCTAAGAACATACTCGTGAATAAATCAAATCATTTACACTGCTATCAACTACTTTAAAACGTTAACAAAGTTTAATTTTCAGAAATTCTAAGGGTCCCATTAATCCATTTAGTGGACTTTTGGCACCGCAATAATTGTCTCTAAGTTCATGTAGTTCTATTTCTATACTTTCGATATAACAAAATGGCGGGTCACGGAGGGTTCGACCGCAAGAGTATGTCATGCCAATGTCAAAAAAGTTGGCACCCTCAACAACGTCTGACTTTTTCTAATGTAGTTCAAATTTGCTTGCTTGACACCATGAATACAAATGATTTATGCGAGATTTATGTCATTTTGTAAATGATGACCTATACTGATTGTTTTCTAAAAATTTCAGACCGGCAGAAGAATGACAGAAACAGAATCACCCACAAGTGAACCATGTGAAACACCATACCATACCCGCATTATTAATGACTTTTAACGTTATTTACGATTGTGTAGAAAATGCGAAGAGGCTTTGGTACTTGGGAAATATCTCTATAAGCCGCATTGGCCTGCTAGTAGGAGAATCCAGGAACTTCCAAGAGCCTGAATTAGTCCAAAAATCTTCCAGAAGGTTTTAAAGTCCTAAAGATTCTTCCTCTCTTTAAAATCTAGTATAAGAGAGGCATTTAAGAACCTTTAACGGTCGAGCCATTGAAGATGTTTATGAACCTTTGAGAGTCTGCAAAAAGTCTGTCAATAAACCCTACGAGTTTCTGAGAACCGTCTAGCTGGTTTAAAAAGTCTGAACCTTAAGACTTTAGGATTGTCAGAAACCCTCCATGCAAAAATACCTGGATAGTACCTACGAGTCTAATACTGAAAACTGGCTTAGGGATATTCCGTAACAAAAATCTTGATCAAATTATCATAAATTCCTATTAGATGGCCAACCTTGACAGCACGTTATATCTACTAGTGTACTCTTTATTTTTTGTTTTTTAATTTTATAAATTTTGTTTGGAGTATATCATCCACTCTCGCATCCACTTATGTTTTGCCATTGACAGACTTATCAGGTTTTGTATAAGAGGGGTTAAGTGGTAGAACAGATGGTAGTACTAGAACGTTAGTTCTACCAATCTGAAAGAGGATTGCATGTTTTGTTATTGTTACATTGATGATTATTATAAAACGTCCTTTCTACCAACTACCGCTCTCTTTCCCGATCTGGAAGAGCCATATCCTCGGTCATACCTATTGGCGAGGTCAAAAACCTAAAGTTCGCTTTTATTATGTGTGCTCCTGTTTAATTCCGAAATTACAATAAAATAAGTAGGTACCAATTTTCCACATTTTGAGTGGCATTGGTCAATCAGTTCCCTAAACCATCACCTTGAAACTCACAGTTTCCTACTTTTGTTTTTTTTGTGTGTGGTATGTCGTTGTATTAGTAATAAAAAATGCTACTCAATACAGTGTGTACTTTTTTTACGGATCATATAAAAAATAAAGTTGATGATGATTTCTCCGAAACGGAACGTTTTATTGAAAATCCCTTAACGTCTTGTAGAGCTCAAAAAGTGGTAATGAGTGTTTTTATTAATTTTTTGTATTTGTTCAAATAACATCAGTAGATAAAAATAAAATCGAAATCGACATATCTTCGGAAGTTATAAGAATTTTCTGGTTTTCTTTACAGCATGATAATTACTATTTAATTACGCAACTTTTCCCTAATTTAACCATCTTCGTATCTTCTATGGGTTCCGTGATCTGCATGACAAGACTGTTTATCTTGGACACAGTGTATAAGAAAACACCTCGGAAAACACACTTATAATGAAGGAACACTTCGGCTCTTTTATATGGTGTTGTACGGGTCGGTAAACAATTGCGTTGAGTGCCATTATTGCCCTAAGCAACGATTTGTTGAGATTGTGCTTTTGTATGATGATATTGATAAAATATTCTGAGTATTTAAAAATATTTTGAATTATACAAGGTACGATCAGAAAGTAGGCAAATAGTTACATATTTTAAGAATAGAACTCCTTGCATTTGCTTTCAAATGATAATTGTACACGAAATTTTACGTTTTTAGCGCACTTTCCAACAATTGCAGCCACTTTATCTCTCCGTCCGTCCCAGGCCTTATCTACTCCTATTGTTTCTAATATATTTAGTTCGTTCTTTTTGAATTTGACAGCTTATAACTGTGGCACTTGAGCCAAGAAAAATCTTGACGTTAATGTGCGCAAGTGCAGACTGCGCAATATCAACTAACTTTCTTATTTATGGAGATATTTCTTTAAAATTTTAACCATAGATGCGTCTAGTAAAGAAATACATCGTTCAAATAGCTATGGCTTGTTGAGAAAACTTGATCAATACATGGAAAATGCGGTATAGTTAGCCGCTTTAGAGAAAACATTTTTTTTAAATTTTAATATACAGTGCGACTCAAAAGTTACACAAAAAATTCCTTATCTTATTTCCTCTTGTGATTTGGGAAAAATACACAAAACTCAATAGCATATAAAAACAGCCATTCTGTGACATTAGCTTAAAAATTTTGGTTTACCCTAGTTCAATTTCATAAAAAAAACACTGTTACGACCTTTATTTATACACTTAACAAAACAATGCTATTACGGATTCATGCTATTACGTGTTCAGCAAAAAAAACACTAAAGAGGATGTTGAAAAGTCCTCCATGAACAGCAAGGCAATGACCGAGAATGTTCGAATTCATCAATGGTACTATACGGAGTTCAGGTGAAAATATCCTTCAGTTTTTTAAATGGAAATTCAAAAGATTAAAAAATTTCAAAAAATTAAAAAGATGGTCATACAATTTAAAAACACACAAAAATTTCGAAAAGATGATTGAATTTTTTCGTTATATTTTTGAAAAGAATTTAATATGCTATTTGTTGAGATTCAAATAGTGTTTCATTTAAAAAAATTAGGTTAGGTCCGATAACTATCTTACCTGACCACGTGTATTTTGAATACGGTAAATTATTCAAATGATTATTAAGAAACTTTTTCTATATCTAACTAGGTAAGAAAACATAGGGTCATTCTGAAATTAAGAATTTTTTTTGATGTTCCCTTGTATCACTTAAGCGAAAGAATATTTTCAAATTGCTATTGTACCATTTTAAATTTGACCCAAAAAAAAAGTACAAGACGCCGACATTACTGTCTTCATACCACTTACAGTTACAATTATCGAGATACCCGAGGAGATACCATATAAAAGTGTTGAAAATGGGACCCCTGTACGTACAGGTGTTCTCTAAATGTTTTCTTGTGATATTTTGAATTATGTGCGTGTGCGTCCTTCCTTGTTTGGCATTAACAAGCAGTCCATCATCTTTCTTTTAACCTGTGTGAAGTTAGCAGCCAGTTTTCAGCAGCCAAATTGCCGAAGACGCCCGAACGTCCAGTGGCGAAGGATAAGTACTAAATATTTGTCCCTTTGGTAAGTATTACGACAAAATGAGTTGTTCATAAATTTCAAAGTCATCATCAAGGTCATCATATACAGTATCATGCACACTTTTTAAAATGTCACCTTGTAATTAAATTTCAAGAAATAGAATAGGTTAAGTATATCTAAATTGCAAAATGGTATCTGGTGGTAACGGCTGTCGATAGTGTGATGGGAGTCCAGCAGTTCCCAAAATGAATATTTGTCTTTAGCTAAAGCGACATTCGGGAAACAACGTGTCATAGGACTTTCCGGATTCTGCGTCTGCAGCTATTTCCTGTCGTAACCACAAACAGTTGCATTTTGCATGCTTCATTATCGAAAAATCCTTGGAGGAGCCGAAGAACAGTATCACAATGTTTAGTCTACGAATCAACATCAAAATGTGCCGTCTTTTAACCTGATGGCAGCAGTCTTTATAAATAACTAACAACGATTACTCGTTTCGTTTGGACACTATATGGAATTTCTTCCAGATTGCGCAAATGTCATCGGCGTTATTCATGGTCACGTGAGGTTTCCTCGACCTAACTTCCAAAAGTGGAACTTCGTCCCCTCAAGAAGGAAAGATGTTCACAAACAATCTTGTTTTGCCCGAACCGAAATATTTAATTAATACGTCAGTGGCTTATTTAAACTAATAGGGATCAATTTGAAGCTACTTCATGAGCAAGTGTTTGATTGCACCATACGATTCGTATAGTTTATAGAGAACGATAAGAGATAGATAATATCCATGTTATACTTTGACTCGTATAAAATATTTGCATAAGGCTCGATACTACTTATCGCACGATTAGTGAAGAATGTTTGACTACCAGCTTTAATTAAGTTTTCAAGAGAAAGCGGTACTTGTTAAAAAAACACGGAAAGTAAACAACTTTTAACAGCCGTAAGACAAAGCTAAATGAAACTTTATTAAAAATAAATTACGATCGAATTATACAAATGTTGTTATATAAACGATCGCTTGGTAACAGCGCAAAGAAAACATTATTGAAGTTTAATGGGCCTTACACTCTCGGTGCACAAAACTGGATTGCCTTATTGAATCATTCTAGTTATGTTAATAAAGCGGGCGAAATGAAAATCTGTTCAAATAGTTTGGCGACCTTCACATATAAATTTTGGATGTCAGCTGTAGCAATAAACAATTCGACAAATCTCACCTATTTATTATCATTCACACGCAACACTCAAATTTCCACTTTAAATTGAAACCTCATACGAGTAGTAAACATGAAAAACCGCACAAATCGCGTCCAAAACGTTCACTTGAACAATTTCAACTGCTTTAGAAACACTTTGGAAAAGACAGATTCGTATGATCACGGCGCTTCTGCGCGTTAATCCGCCAATACAAACAGTTTTTCACATAATTTTCTGATAAAAATTATCTAATTTTCAAAATATACACGCCCCACTCAAATTATTTACTTTTTTTTTGTGTACGCCAAGCAACGAACGGTAAGCGTAGTAGTATTGTTTATGGCAACCTAATTCAACAAAATCTTATCGGAGCGTCACTATTTTAATAAGTGCGGGAAAGGATTGTGGATTTAGAAATAAGATCGGGGTTTACCGTACACGAGATATCTTATCAAAGTGCATACACTCATTCATTTTTGCATTCGTCAATCTACATTATGATTTTATCCAACCCCCCCCCCCCTCACATTCCAAACGCAAAACAGTTCGTTAAATGGCACAGCACTTAAATCAATTGCTTGATAATCGCACACGGTCATAAAAGCGACACTAATACCCGAATGTACAAGTTGATCTGGTTAGTTAAACATTGGACCTTTCCCTCGAAAAACGAGTTCAATGTGACTGTATGGTAAATAACATTCCCAAATTCTTATGGAAATGAAATACTCGCACTCAAGTACATGAGGATTAATCAAGAGCTGTTGTCCAAAATAGGTATTAAGGAAAAATTTTTTTCTATTTCGGTGTCACAATGACGATTTTGTACAACTGTTTTCGGGATGAGTGTTTCATGGCAATTCGTAGGTACCCTTTAATTGCGTTTAGCAGATCTTCCAAACAGTTACTCAAATGACCCAAACTTCTAAAGTTGCTGATAATTAGTACGCCATTTACGTGTGTAATTAATTTAAAAACAGTTGTACAAAGACAGTGATTATAGTCGTTTTTTTTTGGTAACTCATCTCTTAAGTTGGCAGTTACTAGTTAGTACAAGTAGATACTTCGTTGGGTACTTCCATGTTTGAACTTCAATATGTCAGTCTTACTACGCTTCCAACCTAAAACTTAACGGCATAAAAAGTGTTCCCAACATAAAACATGTTAGTTCTAATGTTCCCTATAGTTTCTGATAATGATTTTTTAATTAAATTAAAGCACCGAAATAGAAAAAATAGTATGAAAAACGCGTGTTACAATGCTTTATTGTAATACTCCTATCTTGCGGGCACTCGTGGCTACGCTTCGCGTCGCCACTCGTGCCACAAGATAGTCGTATTACAATAGGTCGCATTGTAACACTTGTCTTTCAATATACTATTTTCTATTTCGGTGTCACAATGATGTTTTTGTACAACTGTTTTCGGCCGAAAACAGTTGTACAAAGACAGTGATTATAGTCGTTTTTTTTGGTAACTCATCTTTTAAATTGGCAGTTACTAGTTAGTACAAGTAGGTACTTCGTTGGGTACTTCCCATATATTTCTCTTATATACAGGGTGTTTTTTTGGGAGCTTTAGTTAAAAGGTTCTGGGAAAGTAAAATAAGTAGGTTTTTGAAAATTTGTACTTAGGAGTTACTCTGAAGGCCGAATCTATGTAAAATATTTTCAAAATGGCCGCACTTCCGGAAACACCGGAAGTAGATAGTAACTTCGTTATTTTAAATGGCAACCCCTATTTTTTATTGCATTTTTGGATTCTACGTGAAATTTCAGTTCTTTTGATACCCATATGTCGATATCTGCCATTTATGGTTTTTAAGTTATTTTGACTTTAAGAAAAAAAATGGCGGATGCAGATGGTACTTTGATAATTGATTACTTGAAAACGGTTGTAGTCATGGCAACCTATTTTTATCAGTGCATAGAGAATGAATAGGGCTTTCTTTTAGTGCACTTAAAAAAAAGTTAAGTTGCATACGACCGCCCCTATGGATATCCAAATTTATGAAACTTCAAAGACTAAAAACTCAGTTTTTTTAAATGGAATGACCATGTTCTTACTATTCCATGAGATAGAGAATCGAAATGGGCATATTTTGACAATACATGTTCCTATAGCTATCTTTAACAGTTTCTGACTTATTCCCATTTTATTGAATTGACACTATTTTTTTCGGATTTTCTTTTTAGTAGTCGGCCATGATTCTATAACAATTGAATTTTAAACAAATCTAGTGACTAATCCATCACCCACTGTTATAGGTTAACATAAGTTTTTCAAAAATCGAAAAATGACTCGCAGTGGTTTCACCTATTTTGGAATTTAATTGTTATTTATGGTGAAATGGGCAGAATCGCGGCGCGTGCTTTCCGTACATTCATTCTAAAACTGGAACGAAATTGTATGAATTTTGGAAATTTTGTACCCCTAATGCACTACAAACGGTTGAAGCACAAGTGATACAAAGCTCTACAAGAGAATATTTAAGAAAATGAATTGAATTGCAAATGCAAGATTAACAAATTTTTCAAAAATTTTCCGTCCTATATCCTTAATAAATGAGTTATTTATTAATGAATTATTTAGACTAGAACTAGAATCAATGGTATTAAAGACTCCATTCCTTGATTTGTTTAAAATTCGATTGTTATAAAATCATGGCCAACTACTAAAAAGAAAATGCGAAAAAAAATGGCATCAATTCCGAGATCAATCCAATGAAATGGGAATAAATCAGAAACTGTTAAAGATAGCTATAGGAACATGTAATATCAAAATATGCCAATTTCGATTCTCTATCTCATGCAATATTAAGAACATGGTCATTCCATTTAAAAAAACTGAGTTTATGGATTTTGAAGTTTCTTCAATTTGGATCTCCATAGGTGCGGTTGTACGCAACTTAACTTTTTTTTAAGTACACTAAAAGAAAGCCCTATTCATTCTCTATGCACCGATAAAAATGGGTTGCCATGACTATAACCGTTTTCAAGTAATCAATTATCAAGGTACCATCTGCATCCGCCATTTTTTTTCTTAAAGTCAAAATAACTTAAAAATCATAAATGGCAGATATCGACATATGGGTATCAAAAGAACTGAAATTTCACGTAGAATCCAAAAATGCAATAAAAAATAGGGGTTGCCATTTAAAATAACGGAATTACTATCTACTTCCGGTGTTTCCGGAAGTGCGGACATTTTGAAAATATTTTACATCGATTCGGCCTTCAGAGTAACTCCTAAGTACAAATTTTCAAAAACCTACGTATTTTACTTTCCCAGAAACGTTTAACTAAAGCTCCCAAAAAAACACCCTGTATATGGTACTTCCATGTTTGAACTTCAAAATGCCAGTCTTACTACGCTGCCAACCTAAAACTTAACGGCATAAAAAGCTTTCCCAACATAAAACATGTTAGTTCTAATGTTCTCTATAGTTTCTGATAATGATTTTTTTAATTAAATTTAAGCACCGAAATAGAAAAAATAGTATGAAAAACGCGTGTTACAATGCTTTATTGTAATACTCCTATCTTGCGGACACTCGTGGCTACGCTTCGCGTCGCCACTCGTGCCACAAGATGGTCGTATTACAATAGGTCGCATTGTAACACTTGTCTTTCAATATACTATTGTGCGGCTGTTTTGCTTGCTTACGAGTTACGGGCTTTTGTTCACAATGAGGGACCATTTTCATAAAGACGGTAGCATACATTTCAAATTGGTCCCAAATGCATTCATGCCAATTGGCAATTATTAGTATGTAAAAAAATAGATAGAGATTCAACGTGTTTCGTTTGGAATCCACCTTCAAAAACTGGTGAAATTTGCATTTCTTCTTTAATTTTATTCTCAGCAACCATAAGAGTTACAAAGACTGATGGCACGTAATTCCCATTATACAGGAAGTAACAGATAATAATCCACAAACAAATGAAAAATATCCTTAAAATAAATAATACCAAAGAGTATGATAGTCTTTGATAATACAAAGAAAGCTATATCCCATTATATGCACAGGGTCGCTAATAAGTCTGGAAACGGTCGATTATCGATGTAAATATACAAGATATGAAGAAAAGTTCTATGCAAAAGTTTTGGGGTTATTCGATGTCTACGAGGTAGTAATAATTTTATTTCTACAGGGTTGGTCATAAAGGCGTGGCACACCAAAATTGCATTTTTTAATGGAACATCCTCCATTTCAAAAAATGCGAATTTTGTGTGCCACGCCTTTATGACCAACCCTGTATAATTCAAATTATTAATGCCTGGTAGATATTGAAGAACCTCCAAACTATTGTATATTTGTATAAACCTCTTTTTCGATACCTTTTATATTTTCCCCGATAATCGACCGTTTTCAAACTTATCAGCTTTTATTTTCAAAACTCGATAACCCGTTAACGATTGTACTTAGGTAATTATGGTTCTTACAAATTTTGCTTAAAATTGAAAGAAGAATTGAAATATAGAATGATATACATATAGTGTTCCATTAAAAAAAAATACAATTTTGGTGTGCCACGCCGTTTTAACCAATCCGGTATAATCGTATAATTAAACTGCCTAGTAAACATTGAAGAAACCTAATACTTTTGTATACATTTTTTTTGTTATTTTCCTCGATAATCGACCATTTCCAGATTTATACACTATACATTTCCGCATAGTAGATTAAATTCCTATGTGTAAAAAACGTAATCATATACTGGTATAAACTGTGTCCAAGATACTAGAAACGGCAACAGATACAAATTCCGATATCATATTTCCGAAGGGGTAATACATGAGCAAAATGTTGTACGAAAGACTACCAGTTGAGAAAGACTAGGTATGTACCACAGACTACCAGTGACTACAAGGAACTGCCCCATGAATACCAGAGACTCATGGCCGCCGATAAGGGGGGCCAGGTCATATTCTGGGGGCCCGGCCAAAAGAGATTTTGAAACCTGAATTGTATTTTTTAACAGAAATCTGCATATGCATATATATCTCGGCGGCCCTGCAGAGACTACCACGGGAATACCAGTGACTACCAGTAGTACCAGTCAAGAAAAACAGCGATTCCAGTGATATCTATAAGTTACTTTAATTGTGTTTGAAATGTAAATAACGGGCGATCAAAAATGAGTTGCTGTCGAGTGACCTTTGGAAGTTCAAGTTAAATACGAATTCCAATGTAAACAAAAATTCCAAAGGTGACTCGACAGCAACTCATATGTGATCGCATAGTCATCTACGTAAACCTCTCGCCAGGAAAGATTGCC